TATCAGACTACACTGTATCTCAGGTCTTTCTAAATAGAGCAATACCTAACAAGATCAGCGTTTATGGTCAGTGGAGAACAGTATAGTGTAATACAGGGCCCCCAACTGCCCTGCTGCTATCAGTGCGTACTCTAGTAAGGTGCCAATTGCACCAAACTACACGGTGATTGGTACCTATCTTGATAAGAGTTCAAGCTGGCAAGCGCAAAGTTTAAGGGGTCTTAACGAAAGGAAAGATGTTGGAGTCACCGGAGGGTGGGGGTGGGGAGGTGTCGCAAAAGGTAAAAAAAAAAAGGAAAGCCGTTCTGACCCGGCCACCTGAGTTTCCATAGTGATGGCAGTGCCTTATCAGGAAAGGTGCCAGCTGTATCAGACTACACTGTAGCAAGTGCCTTTTTGGATAGAGTAATGCTTGAGGAGAACAGCATTTCTATTGGGTTGAGCAAAGGATATGGATCAGGTTGCATGCGTCGCCTCAGCTGCCATGCGGTTGGTTATCAGTGGATCATATAGTGAGGTGCCACATGTATCACAGTGCACTGTGATTGGTTCCTTTCTTCATAGAATCAGGGTTGACCAGGGCAACGTTTCCGGGAACTAGAAGATGGTATATGGAGTTGTGAGTCAGACATGTGAACTCCCATCATATCAGCAGGGCTTTAACTAGAAAGTTGGACTTTCTAAAAGGCTACACTGTACTGAAGCATTTCTGCATAGAGCATGGCTTGAGAAGAGCCATGTGGTCGATGCCTTGAAGGAAGGACATGTATGGGGTGGATTGTAGAGCCCTCCAGGCTTCCCACATGTTATCAGTGCCCTACCCGGTAGTTGCCAGTATTTTCAGGGTGCATTATGAGTGCTGCCAAGCTAGATTATCGCTTGAGAAATGCCTAGTTGGTGGAGGTTTGAGCATAGGATCAGGTTGAATACAGGTGTCCCAAATATGCATGAGAAAATTGGTGTCCATTGCAAGTCTGGCTAGACCAGAGGATGTACACTGGTACAGATAGGAACTGGAAACACAGGGAATCCAGGACAGATTAATCCCTTCAGGACCAGTGGTGTGAGTGGCGATACTGGGAGGGTAGAGGGAGAGTGGGTAGGAAAGAGGGAACCGATTACAAGGAACTATATGTGACCTCCTCCCTGGGGGACGGACAACCAAAAAGTGGGTGAAGATGCGACGTCGCACAGGGCAATAAATGATAAAATAACAATTTATAAATTATCAAGGACTCATGAGGGAGGGGGGAGGGAGGGGAAAATGCCGGGGTTTTAAGTGGAGAGGAAATGTTTTGAGAATGATGAGGGCAGTGAATGTACAAATGCGCTTTACACAATTGATATATGTATGGATTGTCATAAGAGTTGTATGAGCCCCTAATAAAATGATTTTTTTAAAAAGAAAATTGGTGTCCAGTGTAGTTAGGTGCAAATTTGTTCAGGCTACACTATGAATGAACCTTTTTGGACATTGTATAATGGTGTAAAGGGACCCCTGTGGGTTAAGAGGACTTGAAGATAGGATGGTTGTTTGACTGTCGGACACCTGAGTTTCCAGAGTGTTAGCAGTGCCTTATCGTGAAATCTGTCAGTATTATCAGACTTCTCTGTAATTGATACCCTTTGGAAAAGAGCTGGGGTTGCCAAGAGCAGCCATTATGGTGACATAAATATGGGATAGTGTAGAGTGTAGTTCAGCTAAAATTCTATACCGTGAGCCGTGCCTTATGTGGAAAGAGGCCAGTTATATCTGATGACACTGTGGCTAGTCCTTGCTGTAGGAAGTAAGGCTTGACAAGAACAATGTGTATGGTAGCTTGACGAAGATTCATGTGTGGGGTTGAGGGGACAGCCGCTTAAGCTTCCCTATTGTTAGCAGTGCCTTATCCAGTAAGGTTCCAGTCGTAACAGACTACAGTGTGACTGGGGCCTTGCTAAATAGAGCAAGCTGGACAAGAGCAAGGTTTGTGGTAATCTCAGGAGACAATAAGGTTTGGGATGGATGCAGGCCTTTCCATTGTTGGTGCCAATTTCATCACACTCCACCACGAAGGGTAACTTTCTGAATAGAACGATGGCAGACAAAGGCAAGGATGAAGAGGACTTTAAAAGAGGAGGGGGTTTCAGTGTCAGACAACTGCGCCTCCAAAATGCTAGCTTTGCCTTTCCTGGACAGGCGTGGGCTGTATCACACTACACTATAGTGTAGGCCTTTCCGGATAGAGTAATGCTTGCGGTGGGTCAAGGAAAGGATAGGGTCTAATGCAACGTTCCAGGCTGCCATGCTGTGGTCAGTGCCTAATCTAGTTATTTGGCAAGTTAATAACAGTACCCTGAGATGGGTACCCATCTTGATAGTTCTGTGGTTTGCAAGGACAAAGATTCAGGGGTCTTGAAGGAAGGAATGGTATTGTGATCCACCCCCCTGAGTTACCATAGGGTTAGCAGTACTTTATCAGGACAGGTGTGGGCTGTATCAGACTACACTGTAGCCCACACATTTCCTCCTAGAGGAATGCTTCACAAGAACAGCATTTCTGTTGAGTTCAGCTCTGAGTGTGGATGGGGTTGAATGCAGGGCCTCAGCGGCCATTAGATTATCATTGCCCCATCTAGTAAGGTGCCAATTGTATGCCAGTACACTGTCATTGGTTACTTTTTTCATAGAGTCCTGGTTGACAAGGGCAATGTTTATGGCAACTTGAAGATGGTATATAGAGTTGCTACTTGATGAGACTCTACTGTATTCAAGCCTTTCTGGATAGAACATGGCTTGACCAGAGCCACATGGTGGGTGCCATGAGGGAAGGACCTATATGGATGGCCTGTAGAAGCCTCCAGCCTTCCCTCATCCTAGCAGTGCCTTACCTGGCCGTTGCCAGCCCTTTCAGGGTGCATTATGCTTGCTGCCTAGCTAGATCGAGGATTTCTTGAGAAATGCCTAATTGGTGTAGGTTTCAGGATAGGATCAGGCTGAATAGAGGTCACCCAAGGATCCATGCGATTATCGGTGCCCAGTGTAGTTAGGTGCCAATTTGATCAGACTACACGATGAATGGAACTTTTTGAGACCTAGTATAACGTGGTAAAGGGACCTGTGTAGGTAAAAGGGACTTGAAGCCAGGATGGGTGCCTGAGGGTCGGCCAACTGAGTTTCCATAGTGTTTAGCAGTGCCTTATCTGGACAGGTGTGGGCTGTATCAGCCTACACTGTAGCACATGCCTTTCCGGATAGAGTAATGCTTGACAAGAGCAGCAATTCTGTTGGATCGAGCACAGGATGTGTCGGGGTGGGGTGAATGCGGGACCCCAGTTGCCATAAGGTTATCAGGGCCACATCTAGTCAGGTGCCAATTCTATCTCAGTACACTGTGATTGGTACCTTCGTTGATAGAGTCGTGATTGACAAGAGTAACGTTTATGCCAGATTGAATATGGTATATGGAGTTGCATGCCAGACAAGTGAGTTCCCAACCTGTTAGTAGTACCTTTCATTGAAAGTTGTTATTGTTATGAGACTCTACTGTACTCAGGTCTTTCTGGATAGAGCATCGCTTGACCCAAGCCATGTGGTTGGTGTTTTGTTGGAATGACATGTATGGGGTGCACTTAAGAGCACGTCAGACTTACCTCATGTTAGCAGTGCCTTACCCGGTAGTTGCCAGTTCTATCTGGGTGCATTATGCGTGGTGCCTATCTGCTATCATGCCAACTTTAGTTCGGTGCCAATGTTATCAGACTATGGCTTACAAAGGCAAAGTTGAAGAGGACTTGAATAGTAAAGGGGCTGAGGGTCGGACACCTGGGTTTCTAAAGTGCTAGTAGTGCCTTATCTGGAAACCTGTGAGCTGTGTCAGACTGTACTCTAGCTAAGGTCTTTGCATATCAAGTAATTCTGGACCATAGCTCTCTTAATATTGTTTTAACCTTGTTGCTGTGGACTACATCAATTACCCTAGGAACAGAAGTTGCTTACGCTCAGACCCACAATAAGAAAGTGAATGGATTTTAGGCTCCCATTTAATACTAGCTCTAATCTAAAATCGATTAGGTCTTCCTACATGGCCCCCGTTTGACATTTGCCTTTGTGAAGGAAACATTGCAAATGTGATGCCTGTGCAAAGAGTGGTGAAAAATCCATTGGTGCCACTTTACCTGAAAGAATAGATTCTGTGGTCTTCAAAGCTTGAGTTCGCACTGCTTGGCTGAAGCCTGATGGGACTCTGAGACTTTTTCCTTAGTTATCCTTAAGGTTATTCTCTGGGTTCCGTTGTCATCCATAGGGTCGGTCTGTTTGGGGAGCCATAACACGAATGGGAAACACACACCTGCAGAATATTAAACATTTGAGATTAAAAGGGCAACAATCACACAAGAACAAGGATGGATGGAAACGGGAAACACGGAAGAAGTGGGGTAAGTGACATCACCTTTGGGTGATTGCCATGAAGGACATAAAACAAACGGTGTAATGAATTATTGAATGAGCAAACTGATCTGCTCGGTAAATCCATGACTCAAGTCACAGTAAAGTCGTTTTTGGGTAAAAAATAACCGCGAATGCTTTTGCTATGTGAAAAAGAACCCACCAGTAGCACTGCTGGAGAAAGACTGGACTTGCGACTCCAGTAAACAGTTAGTCGCAGGAGCCCACATGGGGTCACTCAGAGCATTCAGTTGATGGCAGTAAGTTTGGTTTTTTACAAGTAGAAATAATCTGTAACTGTCCATTTATTGTGCTACTCTTGGCAGATTTGTAAAGTATATGTTAATAAATATTTTACCAATAGTGGATACGTTTAATACTCTTAATAGAAGGGCCATCTTGGTAAATGTCCATTGATTAGTTGTTTTTTTTAAAAATTTTGTGCTGCCTGGGTTTATTTGTACAACAAATAGCACAAGAAGACACCAGCACCATGCAGGCGGCAGCCCAGGGCTCACACCAGTCCCTCTCGCCCTCACACGGAGAACTCTACTTTGTGGGAGCCTGGCACCTTTGGGAGCTGGAGCTGGGGCCGGGGTGCCTTTGGGAGCTGGAGCTTGGGTGCTTTTGACAGCTTTTGCTGGAGTTGATGCCTTCCCTGGAGCATCAGCTTTGCTTTGTGCCTTGGCCTTGGGCCCGCAGAGCCTCAGACCCTTGGGACTGCATGCCCATGCCTGCTTGCCAAGCTTGGGGTGGGTGATGTAGGCCAGTCTGCTGAGCTTGCGGTTGACGCCCATTGGGATCTTGGCCTTGACCTCTGTGCACTTCACAAGATCCTTGATGGCTTCGGCACGAGCAGCCACGGTCTTGGCGTTGTTGGCTTGCATTTTCTTCAGGCCCTTCTTGTTGGTCTTCTTGGCGAAGCGCATGTTCCTCAGGAACTTGGGGTCCACCCCCTTAAGAGATTCGTATTGTTGTGATTTTGTCTTTTTGATGCCGCTTCTGTGTGATTTCTGGGATTGGTTGTGCGTGGTGTGGTTCTTGGACTTGGCCATGTCTGCACCGACACCTGCTGCGCCCAGAGTGCCAGGGACCGGGAGAGCTGATTAATTCTTTAACATTTCATAGAATTAGAATGATAGAAATTCACTTATATATTTTTAAAAACTTAATTTTCCTAGTGCTTCTAAAACCCCCTCCCCAATAACTTAGTGTTGTCAGCATACATTCCTGAAGGAAAAAAGTCTACACCCCTAAGGCCTATGTTAACAGTCTACCTTGTTGTACCATCTTATTTAAAAGGGTCATTGTGTTAAAACAGAAGATATTAACCTTGAATAGAGGAGAAAACTGACCACATGTGTATTTTGTGAAACTTCCATCAGGCTATACTTATTTGATTTGATTCAATCCATGAAGAATAACCAGGCCTATAGGCAAATGAACTGAATTGTACCTCAATATTAAAATCTTCTTTATGGTTTAATAAATTTGCATAGGTATGTATTGTGTGTTTAAGGAAAGGTAATTTTATAATGACAGTTAATTTTAACTATCAGTTTTATAGAACTTCATTTAGGTAGATAGGTTGTAAATTAGAAATCACCATGTCATACATAATTTCTTATGGTATTATATAGGGTAACATTATAACGCTATTTGTTGCTGTATTCCGGTTAAGATTCCAAACTTAGTTTAATAATTTGATCGCCACAACAAACCTGTAGTTTCTTTTTTAAGGGTGAAATGAACTCATACATGAAGGTAAATTATTTAGTACATATGTAGCCCTTCAATATGTATATTGCCATTCCCTTTACAATTGCTGCGAATCTTGCTTTTGTTCCTACCCCATCAACATTCAAAAAGCCAGGGAAGAAATTTCTGTCATGGGACATCCAAGAGATACTTGCACCCAGTACTGATTCAGGGTGTCCTTGGGGAGGACAACTGGCCTGGTACTGAGTTTGACGCCACATGTATAATCAGGATTACAATGGTGTCTGCCTGATAGTAAGGCAGACTTGTCTTGGCTAGAGCAGATCTGGCGCTGCTCAGTCTGACTAGAAACTTTTCAGATGTGTTTGGGGCTCACACTGTCCTCCATAGCATTTTCCAAATTGGGTGTGTAACTGGACACTAAAATGCAATACTTTTGTTTTATAATAACTGGTCAACCCTTTGGCATTGGTGCTGCTCTGGGTCTGACATCTCCACATAGGAAGCTGAGGTAGTTAGTTTATTGTGCTTACCTGGCCAATAAACACATGTGGGGTTAATTGAAGGGTGGCAAGACAAATGACTGGGTGAGCCTCGCCTTTCTAGTTCTTGGGTCTCTTGCTTTCTGATGGTCGGACCAGGGTGCAACTGTCTTAGCCAGTTCTCTGCTTTAGCTGGCAAGGCTCACTTCCTGTGAGACATCCCTGAGGAGAAGCCACATGGACCTACCCTGATGCAGTCCTGGGTGCTGGAGCAGCTGTTTGGAGACCCCTGCCAGCACTGAGATGCTTACACGCTCACTGACTCGGCTTTCCTCCTGCAGTCGGCATCATAGTGTGTGTTTTGTGAGATGGAGGAGGACTTTGTGGATGGGTGTCGGACATATGGGTTTAATGTTGGACATGAGGGCTTGGGTAGCACTGGGTTGGGATGTTTTCTTGATGTGCACTTACCTTTTATATAAAACTCTCTCGTATACATGAGTTTCTGTGGATTTGTTTCTCTAAATTACCCAGACTAATACAGAAGCAAATCTTTTATCCTATTCTGGATGATGAATTGCTCATTGTCAGTGTCAATTACCATCACAGAGCAGTTCTACCCATTCTCTGAATGGGTAGGAAATCTTTCTGCCCTAAAAGATAGGCTGAATGGTTGATAGCAAGTTATTAAAATGTGAGGGAGATTCCAAAAGTACATGGAAACATGGAATTAAAGTATAATAGCAGCAGCCTCTGTGGTCACATACTAGTAGCATTGTAGTTTATGCACTGGGCTGCTGATTTAATGGTCAATAGTTAGAATTCACCAGACACTCTGTGGGAAGACGATAAGCTTTTTATTCCTAAAAGGTAGGAGTTCAAAACCACTATCTGCCCCACGGCAGAAAGATGAGGCTTTCTATTCCTGGAAAGAGTTACCATCGCAGATTCCCACAGGGACATTTATATTCAGTCCTATAGGGTCACTAGGATCCAGAATCCACTCAATGGCAGTGAGTTGTTTGTTGTAACCTCTGTAGAACTTGCTGGTTCAAAGCAATGTCATTTAATGGTGGTACCTAATTTAGGTAAAACGGAAAAAAAAAAGAACAATGGGCCTTCATTTAGGTATGTATGTGAGTTAGAAAATTAGTGCATCTTAACAAAATTTATTTTGCCAGATACAGAATCCTAGGTGGTGATAACATAAGGTTTTTGCTTTCTTTTCTCTTTATATTCTAAATCATATGTAATCTTCAGGACAAATATGTCGCAAAGGACTAATAGTTGTTTTTTACATTATAACCCTTAAGGGTTAAAAGAACTGGTGTTTGGACTATGGAATACTATGATGTCTGGATTACCTCCTAATACCTACCATGGTTTGGGGGCGAAAAAAAGCTAAAATGCATTAAAGGCCCTGCAGGGAGCTCATTTGATCCTTGTAAAACAGGTACTGAATTTTGGGCAAAGTAAAGGAGTATTTAGGAAATGTTGCTATCTTTATTTTTAACAATAAAAAACATTAATAAAATTATTTTTTGTTTTTGTTATTAGCAACATTACAAACAAGATTTATTAATTTTTTATCATTTTATTTGGGCTCATACAATTCATCACAATGCATAGATCAATTGTGTAAAGCACACTTATACATTTGTTGCCCTCATCATTCCCAAAATTCGCTTTCCTCTTGGGTTCCCGGAATCAGCTCATACAATTCATCACAATGCATAGATCA